ACAACAAGCAAACAGCTGGACATGGTTGTGTTTCCACAAAACTTTATTTGTAGTGATCCAGATTTGGCCTATGGCCTGCAGTTTTCTGACCCCTGTCCTGAAGTAATAACTTATGGTTGGAAATCTTTTATTGATAATTCAGTTATCTAGGCAGATCCAGTTTATTAAAAGCAGTGTGGAGCCCTGGCCGGTTTGGCTAAGTGGTTAGAGCTTTGGCCCACGGACTAGAGAGTCCTGGGTTCGGTTCCTGCTAAGGGCAGGAACCTAGGTTGCAGTTTTTCCCCGGCCCCGGTTGAGGTCGTGTGGGTGGCAACCACTCGGTGTGTCTCTCTCACGTTGATGTTTCTCTCTCTCTCTTCCTCCCACTCTCCCTCTCCCTGAAGATAAATGCAAAAATGTCCTCGGTGAGGATTAAAAAAAAAAAAGTAGTGTGGAAATTGATTCCCTTGCTTGCCTATCTTTGTGTACTCCTAGGGATAAGTGTATTCTAGTTTGAAGATTGGGACTTAATTTCTAAGATGTTGTAGAAGTAATTCAGGTGTTTTTGAAGTTTTGTTGGGTGAAAAGGGAGGTGGCCCTTGCAGTGTGATATTCTAGGGCCATAAATCAAGTCCCCTATCTGACCAGTATTCTTTCTGCTAAAAGGAGACATTTGAAATAAAATTTGCTATATGGTAAAAACTATATAGATTGTGTCATTTAATCTTTACAGTGATCCTGTGAAGTGGTGGTATAATTGGTAAAATTCCCATTTTGTAATTGAGTCTCGAATTTGGATAATTTGCTCAGATCTTACTGTTGATAAGTGAAGTCCAGAAGTGAACCTGGGCCTGTGATGTCTGACCTCAGAATTCCATGCTCTTTTCACTGTGCTGCCTTTTATGGAAGATACGGACTAAGTATTACTATTGTACTGAATGTCTTCTTTTTTTTATCCTCACCCGAGGACATTTTCCCATTTTTTGTTCAGATAGAGCGGGAGGGAGAGAGAGGAAGAGAGAGAGAAACATCGACGTGAAAGAGACACATCGAGTGGCTGCCACCCACACAACCCAACCAGGGACAGGGACAAACTGCAATTGAGGTACACGCCCTTAGCGGGAACCGAACCCAGGTCTCTTCGGACCGCAGGCCGACACTCTACCCTTGAGCCACACTGGCCAGGGAATGTACTGGATATTTTCTTTTAAGATCTCTACCACTTCTGGCCAGTGTGGCTCAGGGGTTGAGCATCCACCCATGCACCAAGAGGTCACCATTTCGATTCTTGGTCAGGGCACATATCCAGGTTGTGGGCCCGATCCCCAGTGGGGGGCATGCAGAAGGCAGCCAGGCAATGTTCTCTCTCATTGATGTTTCCAGTTCTCTCTCCCTCTTCCTTTCTTTCTAAAATCAATAAAGAAAAAAAATCATTAGGAGAAAAAAAAGATCTCTGCCATTCCCAAGATTTTGATTCTGTAAATATTTTTTTCAGATGGAGGCATGGAAAATTACTTAGTTTTTCAGAAATCGATAACTAACCACTTAATCATCCACAGCTGTTGATTGTAATTATCCTGAGCAGAACAAGGGGTTGCTCCTTGCATCTGAATCTGTGAGTGCTGTCTGTTGTGGCAGTTGAGATGGAAGTCAGTAGGTCTATAATTGGCAAGTTGTTTATTTGTAGCTTATGTATCATTTTGATAACTGCCTCAGTTGTGTAACGTGTGGAAGTCTATTTAGGGTTGTCTGACTTTGTTTCTAAAGGTTTTTTTTTACAAGAGAAATAATTCATTGAGGCATAGTTATATAGTAGAATACTACATATCCGTGAGAAAGAGTGAACTAATTCTATATGCAACAACAAGGATGAATCTCAGAGATGTAACATTGAGCAAAAGAAGCCGAACACTTTATTTATTTATTTTTTTAATCCTCACCCGAGGACATTTTTTTTGTTTTTTGTTCAGGTAGAGCGGGAGGGAGAGAGAGGAAGAGAGAGAGAGAGAAACATCGATGTGAAAGGGACACATCGAGTGGCTGCCACCCGCACGACCGACCAGGGCCGGGGACAAACTGCAACCGAGGTACGTGCCCTTAGCGGGAACCGAACCCGGGCCTCTCAGGACCGCAGGCCGACGCTCTAACCGCTGAGCCAAACCGGCCAGGGCAGAAGCCGAACACTTTAAAAGAGGACTTTTATAATTTCATGTATATGAAGTTCAATAACAGGCTGTGCTATCTTTCCTGATAGATATCAGAATAATGGCTACCTTTGTGGGTACACAACAGAACTGTTTGGGGTGTTTGAAGTATTGTGTCTTGATTTGGCTGTTGGTTATGTGGGTGAATTAATATGTAAAAATTTATTGAGCTGTACATTTAACATATATAGACTTATTATATGTATACCTTGATAGAAAAGTAAGAAATAAAAGGCACCAAAGATTGTTCTTTATCTTCTGCTTCAGCTGTAACTCTTCTTTTGACATGAAGGGGTTAGCTCTATAATTGGTGAAGCCCCTTCCTTAGTGTGTTCATCTGATTAAGAACCCAGTTCATGGCACTCCACTTGATTTACAGTTTTCAGTTAACAAAAAAAGTTTCTTTATAGAATACAGGCATGCCTTGTAGATACTGTGGTTTTGGTTCCAGAATGCAGCAATAAAGCAAGTACTGCAATAAAGTGAGTTATAATCTTTTTGCTGGTGGAGTGTCTTGCCTTCACTATAGTAAAAAAAAAAACAATATCTATGAAGCACAATAAAGTGAAGCTCAATAAAATGAAGCATGCCTGTAAACCTATTTGCTAAGTTTTGCAATGTGTTAATGTTGTATTTTACATAGAGGGAAGTTTCTAGTAAGAGAAAAGAGTAGTTTGTTACGTATTGATTGAGTGATTACTTTTTTTTTAAATCCTCACCTGTGAATATTTTTCCATTTTTCTTCAGAGAGAGTGGGAAGGAGGGAGAGAGAGAGAAACATGGAAGTGAGAGAGAGAAACATCCACTGGTTGCCTCCTGCAGGACCCCAACCAAGGCCGGAAACTAACTGCAACCGAGGTACGTGCCCTTGACCGGAATCGAATCTGCAACTCATCGGTCTGTGGGCTGACACTTAACCGCTGAGCCAAACCAACCAGGGCGTGAATGGTTGCTTTTAAAAAATTTTTATTTTTTCCTTTATTGATTTTAGAGAGAGAGGAAGTGAGAGGGAGAGAGAGATAGAAACATCTATGAGAAAACATCAATTGGCTGCTTCCTGCATGCCCCCCACTGGGGATTTGGCCCACAGCCTGGGCATGTGTCCTGACTGGGAATCGAACTGGCACCCTCTTGGTGCATGGGTCAACGCTCAACCACTGAGCCACACTGGCCAGACTTGGTTACTTTTTTTGTAAATTTTTCTCTTTTTTTTTTGTTTTGTTTTTGGTACATGCCCCTAGTGGGAATTGGACCCAGGTCTCTCTGGTCCGCAGGCCAATGCTCCAACCACTTAGCCAAACCAGCCAAGGCTTGGTTACTTTTTTTAATGTTGCTATTAATATAGAACTAAATAGAAAAATATCTGTAATCCACATTTTAAAACTTCACAATTTTACTCAGTTATTAACATAATATAAACTTGGTATACAACATCAGTGTCTTAAAGATAGATATGTTGAATGAAGAAGTAAAAGTCTTTTCACATCTGATTAATTTTTGGTATTTTAAAATTTTTTATTGTAGCTTTTCATTCTGCATCTATCTAAAATAAACATCAGAGTAGAATCATGATGGGTATAAATGACAGGAATAGAAATTTATATTTTTATGACATTAAGTAGACAAAGGCTGATCAGGAAGGGGAAAATAAGTCTGAAGTATGTAAGTGTATTTTGTTCCTTTTACTATCATCAATGTTGTGGACATTTTGCGTGGGAAGTTTACCTGATCTCTTAAATTCTTATAGACGTATTGATAATTGCAACTCAGTGATGGAAATGTGAGAGTTCATTATGCTGTTCTACCTACATTTGTGTATGTTTGAAATTTTCTATAATAAAATTAAAAAAAAAAAAAAGTCTTATGGATAAGCCTGTTAATGCATTGTTTCTTTTATTTTCTGCTCTGTCAGGATAGTTTTGTGATGCTTGCTCAGTTAGATCACTAGAGAACTACCTGAGTTTGTCTTTAGGTTTTTATGTTTCTGATGGAACATAATCTTTTTATCACAGGAGTTCTGTTTTGCTCCTTTGTATACTTTTTAGTTATTTTTCCTTTTTTATACTTTATATTTTATGTAGATACATTTCTGAAATTAATATTTGAAATAGCTTGAAATGCTATTCTATTTATTTTATATTTTTCATGGAAAACACTAAGCCAGTGTTTCATTTTGTACCTAATATTGTTTGTTACGTATATACTCATCTGCTATTTCCTGACTTCCTTCTGTGTGTAGGGCAGTGTTAGATGTCATATCTTATATAAGATTTTGCAGAGTATGCTTAAAGGATATTGTATTTTTAGAACCATTTCCAAAAAGAGTCAGGCATTTAGATATAAATATTTAGGTACTCTAGAGTTTGAGTGATTAACGTCTGTCAGATTTTTAAAATTTCAATTAAATACGTTAGTTAATTTTTTTTTTTTTTTTATCCTCACCCGAGGACATTTTTCCATTTTTTTGTTCAGGTAGAGTGGGAGAGAGAGAGAGGAACAGAGAGAGAGAGAAACATCGATGCGAAAGGAACACATCGAGTGGCTGCCACCCGCACAACCGACCAGGGCCGGGGACAAACTGCAACCGAGGTACGCGCCCTTAGCGGGAACCGAACCTGGGTCTCTCAGGACCGCAGGCCGACGCTGTAACCGCTGAGCCAAACCGGCCAGGGCACGTTAGTTAATTTTTTATTGTTGAAAGTATTATAGATGTCACCCTCTTTCCTCATTGACCCCCTCCTCCCCACTGTCATATTTCTTATGTCTAATTCATTCACTGGTTGAATAAATACTTACTGAGTTCCTCTTCCATTCTAGGCACTGTTACTGATTGAACAAGACAATCAAGGTTCCTTGCCCTTGTGGAGCTTACTGTCTCGTGGGGTGACATACAACATAAACAAACAAATAAGATAATTCATATGGTGATTTATTCTGAGATCATAACAGAAGGTAAGATGTTGGCGAGGGATGGGGAATAGCTACATTAGATTGGGTAGCCAGGGAAAGCCTCTTTGGGGTGGTGACATTTTAGCAGATACAGAAAAACATGATAGAACTAGCCATTCACAGAGTTGGAGAGAGTATATTCAGAGAATACCTGGTACAAAGTTCTTGAGGGAAGGAATAAACTTAACATGTTTGAGGAACAGTAGGAAGGCCAATGTGTCTGGAGTACGGTGGGAGTGAGAGATGAAGCTGTGAGGTTAGCAGAAATCAGATTATGTAAGGATGGTAATCCATGGAAAGGAAGCTTGACTTGATTACAAGTATAATTGTTAAGCAGGGTCAAGACAACTGATTTACATCTGAAATTTTGCTCTGGTTGCTGTGTAGAAAAAGAATCAAAGTAGGGGCAGGAGTGGAAGCAGAGAGACCAGTTAGGGGACTTCTGCAATCATGAGATGGTGGTGGTTTAGATTAGGAAGGTAGTGGTGGAGGTGGATCAAATGGACATGTTTTTGAGTGGTGATAATAGGATTTGCTGCTAGATTGAGTGTATGGGATGAAGGACAGGAAGGAATCAAGGATGACAAGGAACTTAGTGGATGTCAGTGCCATTTATTGAGATGAGAAAGGCTTGTAAAGGAACAAATGGGAGTGTTAAGCAGATGGCTAGAGAAATGAATTCTCTTTGGGACATTTATGAAGTTCCTAATAGACATTTTTTGGTAGGAACTGTTCAATGTGTGAGTTTTCATCTTACGTTTTGTGGAAAACTTTTCTAGGAAGTTAGTTTTTCCTTATATTGGAGGAATAGCTAAATAATTTTTGGCTTTATATAGTAATTATGTTGGTTACATATTTTCCTTGTTTTTATTGAGATATAGTTTATGTACAATAAAATGCACAGATATTAAGTGCCCAATTCAGTGAGTTTTGATAAAGTGTACATCCTTGTAACTACTGCATCAATAAAAATTACTTCTGTTTTTTCTATAAAGTATTCATCTGTGTGACTTCTTTCACTCAGTTTTTCAGAATCCTCTATGTTGTAGCATAAGTAGTTTGTTCCTTTTCATTGTTGAGTAGTGTTCCATTGTATAGTTATTATATAATTTAACTCTTCTCCTTGTTGCCATATTTTGGCTGTTGTGAGTAAAGCTACTACAGAGGTGGGCAAAACTAGGTTTACAGTTGTAATGCAAATAAATAATACAATAATTAGTAATAAATAGTACAAGACTAACTTTGTTTCATGTACTCAATGAGTATAAGTCTTTTTTGAATATATGTTTTCATTTCTCTTGGGTAGGTCCTAGGAATGAAATTTTGGGTCATAGGTGTGTGTTTCATATTATAAGAAACTGGCAAACTGTTTTCCAAAGTGGTTGTATCATTTTACATTATCAGCACTGTAAGGAAGTCCTAGTTGCTCCACATTGTCATACATACTTGGTATTACCTAGCAATCCTTTTCATTTTTCTCAGCAGTCTTTCTAGTGAAGATCCTGCACATTTTTTCATTATTCCTAAGTATTTTATGTTTTAAATACCATTCTAAACAGTATTTTTAACTTTCATTTTCAGTTGTTTGTTGCTATTCTATAGAGTATTGTTGTCTCTTTTATGTTGAGCATGTATCCTGTGACTGCTAAATTCACTTAATAGTTTTAGTAGGATTTTTTTTTTTTTATTCCTTAGGGTTTTCTATATACACAGTTTACAAGTAAAGACAGTTTTACTTCTGCTTTTTCAGTATTTATGATTTTTGTTCTCGTTTTATTGAACTGGCTGAACCCTACAATATAGTGTTGAATATAAGTAGAAGAGGTGAGAATGGACATATTTGCCTTGTCCCAGACTTAGGGAGAAAGGATTCATTATTTCATCATTAATCTGATATTAATTGTTTTAGAAGCCAACTCTTTTTTGATATTATGAATAGAGATTGAATTTCATCAAACGATTCTTTATGCATTTATTGATAAGATATTGGTATACATGGTTTCCTTATTTATTTTAATGCGTTAGAAGACACTGGTTTTTGTTTTTGTTTTTGAATTGAAAAGATCACTTGTTACTTTTTACTTACTTATTTATTTATTTATTTATTTATTTATTTATTTATTTATTCCTTACCCGAGGATATTTTTCTGTTTATCATCAGATAGAGTGGGAGGGACAGAGAAAGAGAGACAGAGAGAAACATAGATGTGATAGAACCACATTGACTGGTTGCCTCCTGCATGACCCGACCAGGGCTAGGGATGAACTGCAACCGAGGTACGTGCATTTGACTGGAATCAAATTTGCGACTCATTGGTCTGCAGGCCAACGCTCTAACCACTGAGCAAAACCGACCAGGGCAAGACATTGGTTTTTTAAATTAAACTATTTGTTTGAGATAATTGTAGATGCATATGAATTTGTAAGAAATAATACAGAAAGATTTTATATGTCCTACTTGGTTTTCCCCATTGGTAACATTTTGCAAAAGTATAGTGCAATATCACTACCAGGATATTTACATTGATATGGTTACGACAGAACATTTTCATTACTATAAGGACCTCATGTTGCCCTTTTATAGCCATATTTAGTTCCCTTCTGCCTCCTCCACCCCTTCCTTAACTCTTGGGAACCATTAATCTCTTCTCCATTTCTAAAAATAATTTGTCATTTCAAGAGTGTTCTACAGATGGAATCATACAGAATGTAACCTTTTGGGATTGGCTTTTTTCACTTTTTCACCATGGTATAGATGTACACAGTTTGTTTAACCATTCACTTGTAGAAGGTCACCTGGATAGTTTCCAGTTTGGGGATATTAAGAGTAAACCTGATATAAACATTCATGTAAAGGTTTTTATGTAAACTTAAGTCATTCTTTTCTCTGGAATAAATGACCAGTAGTGCATTTTCTGGGTCATATAGTAATTCCATGATTAGATTTTTTATAAATTGCCAAATTGTTTTTAAGAATGGCTGCGTTATTTAATATTTCTATCAGTAATATATGAGTATAATCCAGTTTTTCCACATCCTTGTCAGCACTTGGTGGTGTCAGTATTTTTTATTTTAGCATTCTGGTGGGTATGTAGTGATACCACATTGTGGTTTTAATTTTCATTTCCTTAATGGTTAATGATGTTGAACATTTTTTTATGTGCATTCTTTTTATCCTCACCTGAGGATATGTTTATTGACTTCAGAGAGAGAGAGAGAAGAAGGGAGGGAGGGAGAGGGAGATAGAAATATCGATGTGAGAGAGAAACATGGATTGGTTGCCTCCCATATGTGCCCTGACAGGGAATCAAACCCGAAACCTTTTTGTGCATAGGACCATGCTCTAGCCAATTGAGCCACCTGGTCAGGGCTTCATGTGCCATTTGTAGTATCTTTGTTGAAATGTGTTTTCATGCCCGGCTGGTGTGGCTCAGTGATTGAGCACCGACCTATGCACCAAGAGGTTGCTGGTTCGATTCCTGGTCCAGGCACATGCCCAGGTTCTCGGCCAGATACCCAATGGGGGGCATGCAGGAGGTAGCCAGTCGATGTTCTCTCTCATCAATGTTTCCATCTGTTTTTACCTCTCCCTTTCCTCTCTAAAATCAATAAAGAAAATAAAAATACAGATATTAGAAATGTGTTTTTATGCCCATTTTTATTGGATTGTTTTTCATTTTTGTTTTTTACTATTGGGTTTTGAGAGAGCTTTTTTTTTTTTTTATCCTTACCCGAGGACATTTTTGCATTTTTATCTTGAGATAGAGCAGGAGGGAGAGAGGGAGGAAGAGAGAGAGAAACATTGACGTGAGAGAGACACATCGAGTGGTTGCCACCCACATGACCCCAACCGGGGGCTGGGGATACACTGCAACCGAGGTATGTGCCCTTAGTGGGAACTGAACCCAGGCCTCTCTGGTCTTCAGGCCAACGCTCTAACTGCTGAGCCAAACCAGCCAGGGCAAGAGAGTGCTTTTAAAAAAATATATATTTTTGATGCTAGCCCTTTGTCTTTGTCAGATAGGTAGTTTGCATATGTTTTCTCTCAATCTGTAACTTCTTTTTTTTCTTTATCCTCACCTGAGGACATTTTTCCATTTTTTGTTCAGGTAGAGTGGGAGGGAGAGAGAGGAACAGAGAGAGAGAGAAACAACGATGTGAAAGGAACACATCGAGTGGCTGCCACCCGCACAACCGACCAGGGCCGGGGACAAACTGCAACCGAGGCATGCGCCCTTAGCGGGAACCGAACCCGGGTCTCTCAGGACCGCAGGCCGATGCTCTAACCGCTGAACCAAACCGGCCAGGGCTGTAACTTGTATTTTTTATTCTAACAAAAGTCTTTTGCAGAATAAAAGTTGTCATTCTTTTTCTGTTTTTTTTAAACTTATCTTTATTGTTGAATGTATTACAGATGTTCCTCATTTTTCCCCCATTGACCCCCTCCTCCCCACTCACATCCTCCTCCTGCCTTTCCCCACACTGTTGTCTGTGTCCATTGGTTATGCATATATACATATAAGTTATTTGGTTTATTTCTTCCCACCCCTCAATCCCCCTTTTTTTGAGGTTTGTCAGTCTAGCAACCAATTTGTACTTCTTAATCCCTTCACCTTTTTCACCCATTTCCCCAACCCCCCTCCCATCTGGCAACCAACAAAATGTTCTTTGTATCTATGAGAATGTTTCTGTTCTACCTGTTCATTTTGTTTGTAGATTCCATTGTTGATAGATATGTATTCATTGCCATTTTGTTTGTTCATATATTTTATCTTTTTCTTCAAAAAGGCCCTTCATCATTTCATATAATAATGGTTTGGTGCTGATGAACTCCTTTAACTTTTTCTTGTCTGGGAAACTCTTTTTATATGGCCATCGATTCTAAATGACAGCTTTGCAGGATAGAGTAATCTTGGTTGCAGGTTCTTGCTTTTCATCACTCTGAATATTTCTTGCCACTCCCTTCTGGCCTGCAAAGTTTCTTTTGAGAAATCAGCTGACAG